GAAATACTCCATTGACAACCTCCGTTAGAAGTTAACAGAGCATTGGAAGGAAAACGGTGAAGGGTGAAGATGCCTAAAGCATCAACAGTCTCCAACCTGTCAGATGTCTGTCCAGATGAACTGGACTGTCCCAATTTGTGTGTCAATTTGTAGGAGTTAGCAACTATGTCTTAAACAAGATGCCGCTCATACCTCGTCCACAGGGACGACTGCCTCCAGCACGATTGTCAAATTTGTCATGGAATGGGCTCCAAAGCCTTAGACTGTAGCTTGTAGTAGAAGAGAAATCAAAATGTCTTGTCTCCTTCACTAATCTCCACCCACCGGAGCACTTCCTCGTTCACCACATCTGCTGCCTCTAAGAGCGTCTAGACAGAGGAGGAAGAGGGAAACACGGCGTCTATTGCGTTGATGACGAATGAAGAACTCGACGATGAAGCTTGTGGACAAAGCCGGAAATGGCAATACTCGCCATAGCCTTACCTTCCTCGGACAAACATTCCTCATTGAAGCTGCCTGCAGTACCCTTACGAGGGTGTTGATGGAGTAAACAGTCGACAATTTCGCTTTGAGCCAAAACAGCATCGCAGTGGAGACAAATTGGCAAAGAATGAGAGGCACCACGTTAAACTCCGTCTACTACTAAATTTCAAAGCTTCCAAGACGAGGCACAGATATCCACGATGATCAGCCCCCTCCTTCACCTCCGAGATCCGGTAGGAACGCTGAGCGGAATTCGCAAAGATACGATTCAGTTGCATGCCAATCAAATGGTTGGCACAGTTAGCTGATGCGAATTGGCGAAAAAGTGCCTTTAAAAGTTAAAATTTGAACAAATTTTAGGGAAATTAAATCAGATGAATGACCAGCACGCACAATACAGCTCAGAAATTCACCTTTCAACAGATTTGCTTGTTCTCTCAAAACAACGCAATTTTCTGTGTATTCACCGCCTCCGTTTTGCTGAGGTTAGCAGCGATACCGATTCTTTGCGCAGTAAACACTGAAATCGAGTCCACCTTGTTTGTGGTTAACCGACCCTCAGTGCCTTCTCCCCAACACTTGCCAAAAAAAATTTCACTCCCTGCGAGATGAAGAACCATGCATCGCCTTAAACTACATTCACAAAACAACCTCGACACCTGAAATGGGTTTAGGAGGCTAAACTCACATGAAGTGAAATGCAGCATAGAAAAACTTGAAGAAGTAACACCTTGACTCGGTGTCTCGGCTTGTAGAAGAAACGTTGCGCCAACTCCGAGTGAGTAAGAAGAGTTGTAACACCTCAGACTACAGTTTTGACAGTTTAAAACTATTTCAGCGGGTCGAACCGAAATTCCCCCAACAAAAAAAAATAAACAGTCTTGCCTAACAAAAAAGTTTGTAAAAATTGATCGTGAAATTGGCTAAGAGGGGAAGACATGGCAAACAAACTTCTCAATGAGATGAAGAGTGGCGATGTTGGCTACCGGTGGGCGACCCTAGTAACTCAAATCATCTTGCAGTCCTCAAACTACAAGAGAATCCCTTGAACCGTGACGCATCTCAGTGATAGTCAAGGCGCACAACCACGCCGTAGTAGAGCAAGCAAGGCCAGGAGTAGAGCCGATCAGTGACAGGTCAAGGCAAGTATGACATTCATGATGGGATCAACATGCATAATGACAACTGTGTTACCCAACAAGAATACAGACTTGAGACAGCATCACCTTATTCAAATGAATGAGCAACAATGTTGCCTCCACCCAAAAGTCAAATGAGGCAACGCCTACGCATACTGTGTGCCCATAAGCGAGTCCAACCAAAGAATTAAAACAGCCCTTCTGAGAGCACAGTACATCAAAATGTACTTGATTGTTGGACCCGCCTCTAGTCCTCACTATTCTGTTCCACACTTCTAAAGCATGGAGCCATAGCTTCTTGCAGGCAAGGAGAAGAGCGAGCCCCAAATTTGGTAGATGAACAATCCACCAGAATGCCACAAATACGTAATCATACAAGGACATGCCATTGGAGGGGTTGGCAACAATAATCAGATTCCGAGAGCTATCCAAATGTCAATTGGCAAGTTAGCTACGAGTGAATTGCAAAAAATTCGCAAAAGGGATGGTTATAGCGTGGAGATGTGGGCGCCACTCATGGATTCAACACCCCCTACCGTACAGGATGCTGTGAAAAACCAAGATAAACAATTAAGTAGCATCAAGACAACACCACCACAAATGAAAACCCAACCCTCGTGTTTGGATGGATCGTCATCTCTCAAGAAAATTACCAACATCTGAAATGCGAACCTTAACAACAAAATATCAAACAAATGTTTTTCCAAGGGACGACCTCAAACCCCACATTAATTATGGCAGTAACGTTCTCGAGGATTTCTCTAAACAAGGGAAGCAAACCATCCTACATCCATCCAAACCATCTACCCATGACAGACCAATCGCCTATCTCTTCTGTACGTTGATAAAACTACATAAGTTGAAAACACCTCCAAAGAGCAATCAGCTTTGCCTTCATCTAACCTGTTTCTGATACCGTAATCTCTTGGAGATAATTCAGAATCGTCTGAGACCAAACAATGCTTCATCAGCAAGTTGAAAGCAAAAAGGGAACAAGATTAAAAAATAAAAATCATATTTAGACCATCCTGGATGTTTCATTATAAATCACTGGGGAGTTCAGTTTTCTCCATGCAATCTCCTTATTAAAAAATCGAGAAAGATGGCGACAAATTTTGGCCTCCAGATTTGCATTGCTTAGCAAGAGAGGCGGTCCCAATTGGCGTAGGAATAATCGAAGCCGCATTGGTAGGGCCGACTCCGCCCGCAACCGAGCTGCCAAACGGTGGGCAAAGAGATGCCTCGCAAAGGCCACAAACATCAAATCAATCCGGTTTCGCGCCTCCGCCACCTCCTTCCAGTCATTGGACAAGAGACCGGGCTCATGGTGGGCATCACTCACCCACGAATCATTTGCGTTATTCTTAAAGGGGGTACGGAAGACCAAACCCAGGACCATGCGATACATATACTGCGTATAGATGGCATGTTCAATCAAACCGAAGGTGGCGAAGGCAGTAGCGAGGTTTTCCACCGCAGAAACGAGAAGGTCAATCTGAGGGGGTGAAAAATTGGCTCCTGGAGCAAGTGGATATGTCCATTCTTTCAAGTTTGTATAACAACCAAGATCGTCAAGGGAGGCAATCATACGAGTCTGTCGGTTATTAGAAAGGGAGCCTGGGCAGTCGGCGAAGCGGCTAAAAGGCAACTGAGACACATTAGCGTCGAAGATGTAGGAGCACGGTTGGTATTGTGAGGGGGAAGGTGAATGCCCACGACAACGAAGAGTAGCTTTTTTCCAATTGCCTCCACGGCGCGTGTGTAACCACTCGCTTAAGTAACGGTCAAGAGCGCCACGGAGAATCGTGAAGTAGACTAATCTACCTAAAATAACAAATTCATCGATTAACACAAAGCAAAAATAAACGGTATGAACAGAAACAGTTTACTTACGAGATCTTATGTGATTCTCTAGCGTATTAAGCATATTTGGAACGCATTCCTGCAGTTCCGTGAAGTCTGCATGGAGACCACATCGCCAGCCAACAGAAAACCTAAAAATGAAATACTACACAAGCGACACTACCTACTGAATAACCATACATTATGATCATGATAACATTTGCAGAATTTCACTCCGGGTTTACAGTCGCAAGGAAAACCAAAAACACCATCATTTGTTAATGCAGACTCAACGAAAGTTCCGCCCGTTTTTTGAATATGCACAAATACTAAAACGACTTCGGGATTGACCTCGGGGTAGAAGAAATTGTATTTCTTTGCAAAGGGGTGCAGAGTTGCATGGCGACTTTCAAATACATTCATGAAGTATGCACGCTGAATGCACCAGTACAGGAGAATGCAATGAATTGCAGCAAGAAAAATAATACGTGAAGCATTTTTAAAATTTAAATATTTCACCAACTTGACCATTGTTGCAGTGGCAAGCGAGCAACACAAAACCAAAACACCGCCGCCATTATATGCAGGCGTGACCTTATGCCCATGTAGTTTAAGGAAAGTATTGGTGATCACTTAGAGATTTTGAGAACTCACTTTAATACAATTATTACAATCCTATAAAATGTAGGCCAGCATTCATCACATATTTATTTTGTGAATATATTTCGAGTTAATCGATTTTGTGAGAAAATGAAATAAAAAATTGTCTGTGAGACTTATTGCTAGGTAAAAGAAGGATTTAAGTTGGCGGAAAATGCGCATTACAGAAAGCGTTTCCTAATTTTCATACTCAACTTACAATACTCTAAATAATGCATTTTATAAGGGACCACAGGGTGTCTGGAGGTTACTTTGGTATTCGTTTAGTTCATGTACGCAAAAACTGGACCTTAGGCCATGCCAACACCCTATCCCTTCTTTCGTTCTTTAGAGATACGCATTCTGTTAAAAGTGATACCTTCTACCTGACGGAATTCTCAAGGCGAAACGTTGTTTGTGCGACCACCTTGATGTCCAGCAGCAACTTTGATATTTTTCTTGCTCTATTCCTAGAATGCACACATTCAGACCACCTTAATGTCTTTTTTCAAAGAATGGGAGTTTTTGGAGATCTAAACTTTCCTCCTGTGATCTAATGCAATGACGCTTGGCGGTCACTTTAGAATTTTTCTGGTCTCTGTACACGTGGGCTGGCCTTCGGGCCACGCTCAGGCCTATTTGTCATGTTATTTTTGGAATACATGTATTCAATCACACCTATGCCCCCTTCCACCCTACGGGAAGCCTCAGAACGCTACACCCCTACAGACCGTCTTAATACAAAAGTTTGGAAAAAATGGACTAGCTGGTGGCGTTAATCATTGCGCACCCGTGTAATGTATTCTAGCTTGTTTAAGTGGATTTGTTAGGTGAGAGGCGGGAATCAATTGGGAACGTGGATCACGTGCGTGAATTTGGCGAGAGCCTCTCTCCGATTGATATCTCTTATCCGCATCCTATTCCCCATCCCTCCTGGCAACGATGCCTAATAAATCGTCTGCAGCCAACTTCCTCTTAAAGTCTGAGAACCTGGGACCAGAGGGTAGACCAGTAGTAACTACAACCCGAACGTCCATATGGGTATCAGAATTTCAAAACGGACATGAGCCCTGCTGCTGATATCCAGGACTTCTCACTGAAACATAGATTTTTTTGATAGGATTAAATGTTCTTGCTTAAAGAGAAGTAAAAGCATGGGTTCAAATAAGTTTTAGGGTTATTTTATGCAAAAAAGAACAAGTGTAAAGCTCAAAAGCGGCTGTCATTCATTCAGGAAGCCACACAAGCAAAGTCATTACATTACAGAGGTAATGTATTTCTTAAGTTCTAGCCCCCAGTATTGTTAAGTAGTCAAGCAAAATAGTGCATATATCTATTTATGCAATTGCCATCCACCGAAATACAAGCTTGTTTCATAACATTGCTGGTTTGCCTTGGCAACCAATGTAATGCTTTGTTTGTGACTACCTGAGGCTCGGCGGTCACTTTAGGATTTGTCTGTGTAGCACCCCAAAACATCCCACTTGGTAAAAGGAGGCAGTAAGTGAGGTTGGATACATGTATTCTGAAGACGCCAGAGCAAATGGGCCTGTACATGGCTCGAAGGCCAGCTCAAGTGTACAAATGTCAGACAAGTCTTAGAGTAAACGTCAATCGCATAGTCACATAAACAAAGCATTGTAGTTTGGCCCTTGTACTCGTAAGCTGGCCTTCGGGCCATGCTCAGCCCCACTTGCTCTTTTCCCTTCAAAACATGGATCCAGCCTCACTTACTGCGTTTTTCCACCCTATGGGAAGTCTCGAGACGCTGCAACAAAGCTTATAATTTAAGTAACTGTTTTATGTAGCTAGAAATAGCTTACTGGTTTTGGCCTTTTAGGATGAAAACCCAATAACTTCGCTGAATTTTCACAGTTCCTTTGCATATGATTTACGTTTTCACTAAGGTGAACATTTGCTTATACAATGAAAATTATTTTAAGTAAGGCTAAGATCGCGTGAAACCTGAAAAAGATAATTTTAATGAGCAACCAAGATCAGTGACCTTATGATATGGCTTGTTTTATCATATTCATATCTCTGGACTTTATTTGTAATGTCAGGTAATCCACTAGTTTGATGTTGATGGTTCTAGTCCGTAGTCACAAGTTATTTTTAGGAGGTTTGTCTTCTAATGTCAGTAAATCCGACTTACTTCGTGAGCTTTCCAAGTTTGGTGCTATTTCGGATCTTTGGATAGCAAGAAATCCCCCAGGGTTCGCGTTTGTGCAATTCGAAAAGTTTATCGATGCTGAAAAAGCTGTTAGAACACTGGACGGTGTCACTCTTTGCAATTCCAAACTGCGCGTTGAGTTTGCACATAATCGTTCACGCAACGGTTAGTTTGATTTTGTCACACCTTTCTTCCCTCCAATTCCTCGTACCTCCCTTCGACCGGCAGTATTCAACGCACTTCTCTAGGTGACCATTCGCGTCCATTTGGAGATCGACGACAATATATTGATTCTCGAGATGGCCGAGTGTCTCCATTACGCCGCTACGAGGCATCACTGCATCGTGGGAGGTCGCCACCACCCGGTACACTTTCAGACGATCAGTTCCGTTATCCCTACGATCATTTGGCTGCCTTCTGTAATCCCAATATGTTGAACGCCGCAGCGGCCGCTGCTGCAGCTGGCTTTTCCTATCGAATTCCTGGCTATTCCAGCATGTTTCCCTTGCTGCCAGCGGACAACGTGCACCGAGTGATGAAACACTCGCGACGGATTTCACCCAGACGATCGCCAATTCACCATCGAAGGTAATTTACTGGTTTTTCCGTCATCCTCGTCGTCGTCGATGTCATCGTCACTCGCCGTTTCGGTGGATCTGACTTTCTTCGTTGCCTAGTCTTCACCGTCTACCGCGCTTCGGATCTGTGCCGTAGGAAAGATTGATGATCTTCACACATTGCTGTGTGTCTCTCTGGCAGACTTTTAGTTACGCCTTTTTCCGAGAGGGTCTTAGTAAATGTCAACTTTCTATCGCATAAGATTTTAGATCAAGTATTTTATCAATCAATAGCATGTTAGGAGCGAAAGGAACGTTGATTTTGTTCATCGTCCTCTGTGTTCCCCTCCTTTCCTTCCTTTGCCACCTTCCATCCACTCTCTCACTGGTAGAAGCCGAAGTCCAATGGATAATCGAAGTCGAAACATCTGCGATCGGTATCGAGAGGTCTACCGTGGCCGAGACCACAGGCGTCCTTCCCTGATGTCTTCTCGACGGGGAACTCCTCCACCACCGTTGCCTCCTTTTACTTCCTCCGAATATGGAAGTCGTCGGCATCACTATGATCGTTCGCCGCTACCTCGATTGTCGGAACGTCGACGACGCTGAAACAGTGAGAGTTTTAGCAGCAGCAATCGTTTCTAGCTATTGCCCTCTCTTTTCTTCCCTTTATTCTTTCATGTCATCTTCTTCACTATGCATTTGGACCACCAGCTCTTAATAAAATTTTTATCCCATCGATATTTAACGTTTTGTCGCGGTGACAGCATATCCTTACAAATGCGCCTCAAAATTGTAGGCTTCTTAGTAATGCTTTCAAAATATAAAAACAAATAGTTTTCACTGAGACGAACTCAAAGCTTTTGCCTTTTGGAATTTCGTTCCTTGATAAAGGCTTTCTTTTTTAGGAGTCCAAACTAACGTTTGTTTTCTTTCTTTCACGCGGCGTTAGAAATAACTCACTAGCTAACCGTTGTTATATCATTCGCTGTATGGAAAATACGACTTTTGTCGTCTCCAGCCGTTCTCCTTCCTTTCTGCATGGAAGCAGTCTGCAACGGCGTCCAAACGCATCCATGAACCTGCTGTCATTACAGCATTCTAGTAACTAGTTTTTTCCGTTTTGTAGCATTCCGGACATGGATCTTGTGTTCATCAACAAATTAAAGATCTTTCAACCCAAAGCTGGGATGTTTGTTAGCATCTTTCTGTGGTTTCTGTAGCCCTTTCTCAAATGTCTCTCAACTCGCATCTCAATGAGGAAGGTAAAAATTTTGCATGTCACTACTCTGTGTGAGAACGCTCAAAATCTGTTCATACGCACTCCGACTACCTCATTCTGTTAGTGAAGGATGAGTTGGTTCATGGGTTGCTTTCCAGTGGTGAATTCTAACTTCTTCGTTTAGGGGATGCAGCCTCCTGTGCTTCCCATGGAGTCGACGCACTTCTCCAATCTTTCATTGTGCATGCTGAAATCTAAAAATTTTTTTAGCATGCGGCTGGTGCTCATATGGGAGTGTTGCAAATTTCGGCAGCTGTATCGTGAGTTGTGGCTATGTTCTTGGCTGGCTTTTTTTTTCACTTCTACACAATCCAATAGCATCGGTCAGTATGTGGGGGATTTCTGTTTATTCTACGTTTGTGTCTTAGGAAGAGAAAGTTGTAGCAAATGCGCAAGTAAATCGCAGTGTATTTAAGGGGCGAGAGAGCCGATCAGAATTTGAGGCGCAGTTTGTTATGCCCTTGTGAGGTATAAAAGCATATTGGTTTTCCGAGTTACTCCCTCACTAACTGACGTGACTTTTATTTCAATTGGATGCATCATGTTTGCTCCAAAAAATTCATTTGTAGCACTTACGTTGTTCCTAAGGTGGAGTCGTCGACTGGTCCTTCTCTATTCTGCTACTACTCGTTTATATCCATTCTGGCAGTTAACTCAATCCTGGTAAACCATTTTGGCCTATAATGATGAAATGGATCTCCATAATTCACTCAATGGCTCTTTTCTCTTTCAAATGCATCTATGTGGCCGGGCTTGACCTTTGAATCCAACTCATCGCAATACAATTCAACTTTTTCTGGAGTCATCTGAGCATCGTTTCAGCGCTGCTAAACTGTAGGACTGTTTATCCATAGTGGGCTGAATCTGCGGCACGACGGGAAGGTTTTCCATGGAGATGACGATGATGTGTTCGGTGGGTTCAATCTTGTAGTCCTCTTTGGCAATCGCATACAGGAGGAAGTGCTGAAGGCTAAACGAGTTCCTTCTGCTCGTCAAACTTTCGTCAGATCAGTTCGAATCAATTACTTAAAGTGAATGCCAGTTTCTGTTTCCCATGTGAGGAATCTTCAAGCAATGCCGTCCTAAGCTTCACTGCAGGACGATGAGCTCACTTTCAGGATTGTACCGGCGAGATCCTCACAGCGATTGTCCGACACTAGAATTGTCTGTTCGAGGAGGGATCGGGGACGGAAATTTGGAAGAGTGGACATCCCCGCACTAAGTAGACTGCTGAAGTGGTTTTCAAGGCAATTAGAGATGCTGAGGGTCGTAAGTCAGTCTCTTCTTCCTATCCTCTGTCCTGAAGTGTGATAGCAGTAGATTTCAACTGATCTGTCTCGTTCTGATCAGATATTGCAACAGTCTTGAATGCTTTGCATCTCACTCAATCCTTTTCTTTCCTCCTTGTCGTTTCCAGCCTCGCGTAGTTAAGTGCATCACATGGATTCCATGTTTTGGTGAGAATGCTTGCGAAGTCTCACTTCTTCAATTTGCATCGTGGGAAATTTCCCTGTGAGAACAGTCCTACACGCAGATTCCCCGATAAATGAGGTTGAGCGGACCAAGCGCTCAGTGGGACCCCAACAAGAGCCAGAAGGCACAAAGACAACTACTTTTGAAGGCGCAGGCACCAATGGGGAGTCGTGACTAGCCTTTTAGGCCTGAAGCATGGACTGGAATTATAACCGGCTTATGCTCAGGCGTCTATAACCGTCAGTTCAACGGTTTGGTGTACCGTAAACCTCAGTTTTGGCATCCTTATTCTGATGAGGGGAAGTTTTGGAGGAGCAAAGAAAACCACTTGGAAGTCAAAGATAAGCATAGCCATGACCTGAACCCTCCAATGTCAGGCACAATTTGTCGGTATGGCTTAGGCCCAGGAGACCTAGTGGACCAAGTTGGTTCCCTGTTCGTTTTCTGCAACTGTCTTACGCAAGAACGATTGTACGATCTATTGTTTGGCATGTGTTAGGCAAGAATACCCTTTGATGAAAACACTCGACCATATTTTGCGTACTTAGACTCCCTTAAATGCACAAGAAAGGTGTGTAACTGCTGTCTCCGAACATAACTGACATAGTGACATGAAAAACGCTGTCAATGGTTACGCAGGAGGAGGTGGTCTCTGTTTTAACAGACGGAGACGTCCACTGGAAAACATTTACAGCCATGTATGGAATTTAGACAAACACGTTATGCAGACCGCAGCTCACTGAATCGCAAATGGGCAAAAACTTGATGCATTGGACTTTCACCTCAAGACTGCGACTGCGATGAGACCTGCTTTTTGGAGCCGACAGTTTGTCAATGACTTGTCGAATTTGTGTCTTATAGGCCCAGGCAAGCTAGTTGTGTCATTATTTTATTCCCTATTGTTGTGCAATAGTCTCAGATACGAGTCCATGGATGTCCAAAGCAAAACTGTTTGATTAAGTTCTTCACAGCAAAGATTATTCTGAAAGCACCTATAGGTGCCGATGCATAAACATGATGAAAAGCAAAGGTGGAGCATCCTAAATCAAATATTAAGGAGGATCTCTGCAGAATATCCTCGACCTTAATCAGTCCGCTTGGGCCATAGAAAGTTATATCGCTCTCATTCCTAAGCTTAGCCTCTAAATGGAACGCTAATTCAAAGATGGATGGATGGTATGAAGAGGTGATGCTCTGTTTGCTACTTCCTTCTCAACTTACAACTTCTTCCCCATGGATTCCCCTCAATTGAGGCCTCTTTCAATCTAATAATTTTCTGTCGAGATTCTCCTATTTAAATTATTTCAGTAGTCGCATTTATACAACCAAAATGGAAATTTGTGGAACACTGGTGGCCTAGAGTTCGCACAGCTGGAGAGAAGATTGAAAATCACCAGGTAACACTAGTACTTCCCAGGGGTTTAATGAAAGATTAGACTAGTGCAGCTGCTTAAAGTAGGAATTTCGGAGTAGTTTAACCCCTGTGTGGTGCATTCCCACAGTATGCGCATCTTTTGTGGCATTAAAGGATGTACCCTCTTTCTGAAATGGTCTTTTGAGTGTAAAAGGCAGCTACTAAATGAAAAGGGTGTGTGATTTATGAGTATTTACAAATTCACAAGCCTGTGCCTACAGTGGCATGCCAGAAAACTGCATTAAACGAGGTGCAAAGTGCCTTACAAGTTGAACATGCCTTCCTATTAAAATACTGTTTAGGAGTGTAATTTTTGGTGATTTTACGTTAAGTGAAACCGATGAAGAGGCTAGTGATTGACCGCAAAAAAAAAAAGAAATCTTGGCAGTTCACAATTTCTGTGGCATATTAATACATGCTATTCGGCTTTCAAAAGCGAATATTCCAGAAAACTAATCTTGTTTGCATGATACCTACTACAGGGTTGATTCTCCAACTGCTAGGAGGAGAAACGACCACCATCTCTTTCCAGATGTTTCATTACCTTGTTGTGATTCCAACTGTCATTAGTTTATCCACCCAAATAACCGTTTCTAAGAAAATACAAAACATATTTTGTTGTTGTAAACAGGCATAGGTGGAGGCATTGGAGGTGGCCTTCGAGTGATGCGCTCATTGCTTTCTCCTTGCTTCAGAGGCACCGATCGCCTCCCTCTCCGCACTAGGCGGCACAATGACAGAACTGTTCATTGTGAAATGCTTTACGGCGGAGAGGGAGGAAGGTCATCCGATTTTTGGTTTGGGGGCAATACAAAATGACACTACGTAGGACCGTGTTTTCATGTAACTTCCAATTGAAAGGTTTGTACTATTAAACGAAAACTGGAGGCCAAAGGCGCAATTAAGGAATTCTTTTGACAGTAAAATTTACTTACACCTTCACTGTCAGCGCTTGGCTTTATCAATTAAGGTAACTTGGCTGCTCCGAAATGCGCCTACGGACCAAAGTGACACAAGTTCGCACATTTCTGAGGAGCTTGAAATGGCCAAAATGCGACACTGAGTTGGATCCTGCAACCCAACTCGGGCGATTCACCCTCGACATTGTTAAGGATTGTCTATAAACTCGAAGTTGTATCCAATGACACGCTAAACTCCTCTTAGAATTGAGGTTGACTTCAACAAGGAGGGCTTGCTAGCCTTCGTATTAACGGAGAGTAAAAGAGCCTGCCATTTGGATGGCGGAATTTGGCACCACCTGTCTTCTCCTGAACGCATTGTCTGGCATCCCATTCAACGCCTCCAAGTTCAGCCCCTGAAGTCAGTCATGCATGTCAACTTTCACCTTCAGATGCTCTCCCATTTTTGGAATTTAAAGGCTTATTTGGCCATTACGGGAATGGCAATAAGTTCTACCGGTTTGGCGAGCCATTGAATGGA